GTATTCACAGATTTTCAATATATTTTGATGGAAGTAGAAATATATTGATTAATTTATAATAATTGATGAATATTTACATTTAGTTCCGTTTATTTTTTTTTAGCAATAATTGTAATTAAGTAATTATCTGAATTTTATGGATAATTTTTTAAATTAACAATATTACTTTCTACTTCAATTGAAATGAACTTTAAAATAATTTTTGTATACAAATTCATATTTCCCGTTGTAATACTAATCTTAGTTTGTTACACTAAATAAAAAAAAAAACAAACAGACAAGCTTCGGGATAATCTATGATCTAATTGAAATTAGTGCCTAGCATTTACGTTACGTGCTCTCTATTTTATGACTAATATTATGACCTGGTCGCATTCGACGTAAAAACTTTACTCCGATATTAAAGCAAAATGTATTTCTGCAGTCAATAATTGCACTCGCGAAAATACACATTACAATCATGTGCCACACTGCTGTAGTTTCTTGCACAAAATATGTGTATACTGTACAGTGTATGTTGCCTTTATTGATCAAACATTTCCTAATACTTCTTTATACTTATATATACGGCAAGGCATCTAATTGATTCTGCACTTTAGTACACTTTACAATATTACAGTAAATATGAACAATAAGTTCTTATTTGTATTGAATTCTATAAAATTATTTATAAAGTTTATTACGATTAGAAAATATTCTAAGCACAAATAAAAACGAACTACACCAGTGTTTTTTAACTTCTATATTTAATGGTATACTTGATCATATTGTTAAACTGAAATTATGAAGATGTTTTTATTTTGTTATGTACACTTATTGTGTCTTCGATTTCAGTAGAAAATAATTTAATTAATTAAAAATCCCCGCTTACCGGTTGAAAATCACTGCATTACACTCTAATTTTACAAGTAGTAGCATAAAACTATTTTAAAAGTATTTTCCCTATGGATTACATTAAAAATATCTTGTATAAGTACTTAGTAAACAATTATATATTTTTTTTTCTGGAAAAACTATTAAGTTTAATAAATTTGATTTAACTGTTTTTTTTTCATAAACTTAAACTAATTTAACCTATGTTCTGATGATATTGTAATATAGTTAAAAAAGAACTATTATAATAAAGCATAACGAAATAAATAACAAAGAAGTGTTTGATATAGGTGTTTACAAACAACTTGAAATTCGAACAAACATTGAAACTTTTGACAGGTTTATCTCTAAAGAAAAATCAAGTGGTGTTAATATAATAATACTCAACTAGTGATTTCTTAATGAATGAAGGCAATTTACCTATTCCACAACTAAATGAAAAGAAACATTAATTTACTTAAATACTTTTTTTTCTCGAAAGTTGACAATTGATGAATTATCCTAGGTATGGATTATTATCAGAGTTTGAGGTTCAAGTATATTTAGAAACAATTATTTAAAAAAAAGTTTGGAAATGTTTCAAAATAATGGTAAATAAACTTAAGTTATGATCTCTTTCTTGACCCAACCTATGCAATCCGTAGACCTAAACACTCGAATCACTTTTATTTTATTGAAATTAGAACCGTTTCCTTGAATGAATTGTTTTCGAATTTTAGAAACAAAATCAAAATAACTAAACTTAATTGAAACTCTCGTTTCTTAAATATTAAACTGACTTAAACTCTGCATACTCGAATACTCTAATATTTATTTAAAGAGTTTATAGACATGTTAATTATAAGAATTTATAAATAAATAAAATTATAATAAAATTCGAATCAAAGTTCGAGGTTTAGTCAAAATGCTCCAACATTTGTTGAATGGTAAGAAAATGATAAATGTATGCAGTAGCATATGAAGGATAGTTGGGACAAATTATATGTGGTTAGCCCTAAAAATACTAAAAACAAAAGTATTTTGTAAATTTTGTAAATAGAAAAATATCTTGGTTCGTTTAGGGTCCTTAGATACGTGTCTTATTGCCTTAATGAATAATCCGCCACTAAATATATGTATGTTCTTTGTTTCTCGAAAGTCGAACAACTTGAAAGTCGAACCAACCGTCTCCAGGAACGGATTGTACGAAGTTGAAGTGTATTTAGAAATCATTATTGTTTTTAAAAACCGTGGAAAAGTTTCAAAATCAAGGTAAGTAAACTTGACTCATGCTCTGCTTCTTTTTTAAACTTAAACTGACCTAACCTATGCTACCCGTAGATTAGAATACTGGTATGTTTTTTTAAATGAAAATGATAAATTAATGGTATTACACTTGTTTGATTCACATCAAAATAAAATTATTAGTCTTTTTTTTTGGGTATGCAACATGTATTGAATTAGATTGTCTTTTGGATGTAACCAGCTGCAAGGTATGACGCGGTGATGGCGTAATTCGAATCTAAGAATAGCGGCGTCGGACAGGGCAGCACGGATGCGGCGGCATTTATATTTATAATCGAGGAAAAGTTTGATAAATATTTGAAAGTGTCTCACCTTTGTTTCGAGCGACGGCGGCGGTGGCCGAGGAGGTGGCGGAGGAGGAGGTGGAGGCGGTGTTCATGCACACACACTCGGATTGTTTTTTCGAGAAGAATGGATATCGGGACGAGCGAGAGGACGGATGGTCCAGGATCGCTGGCAGCAAAGAGCCAGAGAGAGACGGAGGGAAGCGCGCGACATCTACTAAGAAACTACCAAGTATATTTCATCTGCCAAGTAGCGGAGTGGCGATACACCGCGCGTCCTTATTGACCAAAACCAACAAAAAAAAATAGATTTCGAGTAAAAAAAACAAAATGTCAATTAAAATAATGAATCAGAGTGGGTCCGAGTTGTATGCATACGGGCCGAGTGAGTATATATAAATATACGCGTATATATTTATATGGATGGACGGAAAAGAGAGATGTAGAGAAGTACCGCGAAATAATATTTGTGTCAAGGTGGGTCTATTTTCACGCGACAACCCAGAGGATTGAATCTCCCGCGTCTACGCGCGAACCTAATCTAATAAATCTCCGCGTCCATCTATATTTATCTATAAATATACACACACACAAATGTATTTACATTGTTGGCTTTATTGTTGCGGACGATGAATTTGATTGGTTACGCAACGGCGCGGCCCCGAGCTTTAATCGAATCGGATTTGTCCTAATTCGATTAGCACTCCTTGCCCTACCTTCGACGTTCTCCGTGCTGTAGCTGCACCTCGGCGGGCTGAAGAACAGATGCGTCCTGTAGTGGTGCTCCTCGATGGGCGTGTATCCTTGCTCGCGGCTCGATCTCTTCGCCGTGTGCCTTCCGCTGCTCCCTTTCGACCCTATCGCCTTGCCGCGGGCCGTCTTCTGCTCGGCGAAGTTCTTCTTGAACATCAGATTCATCCTGCCCGCCGTTTATCGGATGCTCGCTCTGCAAACAAGAGAAGCTCACTATATTAGCCAAAGAAAAGGGATTCGTATCCAACCATTCGGATCGGATGCCTGACGACAGGCAGTGGCGTCACGCGGAAACTTTATAGATTCCCACGTTACGCCATTGCATTCTTGACATTCTGAAATATTCACTTTTCGTCATATGTAAACAGTGATCTGACATGGACCCAAAATAAATAACCATAGAAACATGCACATCTTTATACCAACATTATAATAAATGTCAAATTATGTAAACATTGAACTGACTTTACTAGATCTCAAAATAAATAACCATAGCAACAAGGCAGATCCTTGTACCAACCTATATCTAAAATGATTAAGTCAATGGCCTATGATAATAAAATCCATCATTTGTAAACCTTGAAATGATATGACTTGCCTCAAAATAAATAACCTTGGCAGCATGCATATCCTTATACCAACCATGTTATAAATGTCAAAGTTATTAATGACTTATGATCGCATGTGACACAACATCCAATACGAAGATGGTGAGTTCGAAACTTGTAACCACCATATAGAGTTCATCGACCCCCACTACAATTAATCAACGACTTGTCAAATCTTAAAAAAATAGATATCTACTAATCACTTGAGAATCACTGTGTCTTTTGACAATTAAAACTGTTGGCAGCAAGTAATGTGAATAGAAGCTAGATGTTTTTTAACAGTAGGTAATGCTGAAAAATGAAAAAAATCAGGTAAGATGTTTTTTTTTATGATTAAAGGAGTGCTTTTATAAACTTTTGAATAAAAAGGGCTGCAAAGGGTTAATTTGTTTTAATCATCTTATTTATTTATTCATATAATTATAATCTTAAGATTTAATTATATATTGCAAATCTGTAGTATTGATCATAAAACTCTATATAATTTAGGTTTACAATTTAATTCTATAATAGAACGAGATACATAGTTTTATGAAATTCGTCTTAATTATGACAAAATGGAAATTATTCTTAGAAATAAAGAATAAAAATCTAGAAATTTAGTTTATATTATAAATAATAGGATCGCAGTACAAATGCAAGCAAGTATGTTGTGTTAGATATAAAACGATATCTCAATTATATCTTTTCTATCTAATTCATGGCTGTCTTATGAAATAAATGACATCTTGTAATACATAAACAGGGGATTAAATTTTCTATAATTTTTTATTGGTATATTTAAAGATTAATGTTAGATATGCCGTTTGCTTCAAACAATTACATATCATTTTGATTATATATCATGATAGTTAAGTGTACTTTTCTTATTGATAATTTAGATTTTCTTAAGATATATTAATGATTATATGTATTTTTTATAAATATTTTATAGCGATTTTTGGTCTATTTTGTTTTTTTTTTTGTGATACATTACTGAATTTTCATTCATCTTTATTGATCACAATAACCATTGGACTATCGACCGAAATCTTTCTGTTAATATTAATTAATGTGTCATCGAGCTTGTATAATATTTCATGCTGAAAGAACACTGTATTCTTCAGATATTATTTCAGTTTTGCAAAAATTTTAAAAGTTTTTAATTTTTATAAATGTACGGGATACAATACTTTATCGAGTACAGTATCTGAATCTGTTGAAAATAATTTGTTTCTAAATGCACTATGAAAACTTATTTTTTTTCTAAAATAATGACAAGTACTTGATTGCCAGATTTCCTGTTGAGGAATTCAGTTTTTTTAATGTAATTTATTACATTCAATATTATATAAATGGTTTATATTGGTATTAAGGAAATAATATGAAATTACAACAAATTGTTCTATAAATACAAAAAGATTGAAAAAGGAAAATATAACTTTCCTTTTTTTTTCTCCCTATCCACACGGATGCTTGACATTTCATTTTCCGGTTGGAATGGAAATGGGAAAGCATAATAAAACGGAAAAGGTTAATAAAATTGGGACATGCCATACACACACCCCATATATATATATTTAGAGAAAGACACATAGAGAGAGAGAGAGAGAGACGAGAAAGAAAGAGAGAGGTGTGTGCATGTGTTGTATTGACTGTTTTTGCCTCACAAAGGTCACAGTTCTCAGCCCACTTTGCAAATGACATTTCCAGAATTTAATACTCGAGCACACTCATACACACACACTATTGCTACTACTAATTTACATGCCAAATGAAATAAAACCGAATGCATCTGCGCTTCAGCCAAACACTGTATTACCACTTGTAACATATTTAATGGACCCCATTTATTTCGAGCTTGATGTACGAACATCATAAATTAGTAGAGAATTATAGTTTGAAAATATATTTTTTTTGAAATAAATTCTATCTAGCTTTGTGGTAAATAATAAGCCCCCTCAAGAAAGCCAACCAACGATTAAACCTTCTTTTCTGCCACCGATCTAAAAGAGGCGATTGCTCCGCCGAAACATATAAAGAATTCACATTAGCTCCCCTATCATTCAAAATAATCCTCCAACTTGAGCGAAAATACGAAAAATCGACCTTGTCTCCTAACAACCATTACTTCATAAAAAAAAACTCCAAGGCCGACTCGCATATTATACTTTAGGGCATCGCTCTCCAAAAGACCCAAAGCCCAGCTGTACTGGCACGGGCACTGCCACCTCTTAGAAGATATCAATCCAAAATTTTTATCTTCAACCAAAGTGACCTAAACCACACCACAGCCCATTTATTCACTTCTGGCCTATACTTATTTCGCCCTGTTGTGTTGTACTGTGTTCCACAGTGTTATGATGTGTTGCGCGAATTCAGTGCAACAACATTCTTTTCTAGCTTAGCTTTTCCCTTACTATTATGTCATGTTTTTCTATTAACCGTGTACTCTATGTTGTGTTTTCTATAAAGTTAAGTATTCTATCATAGTATGTCCTGGTTTGTACTGTTATTATTATCTCGTACCTAGTCACTCCATTATTTGCTCTTTGTGTATCTATCCCTAATCTTCTAACCGAAAAAGGTTAAAGCCCATACCAGTCTCTACTATCATGTTAAACTAAAGTATGTATTTTTTATAAAAC